TAATTAATATTTTTTTGTTAAGCAAGGTATTTCTTTCCTAAACAAAACCGCGGATTGTTCACGCCCGACTAAGACGTCATTGGCCAAGTAGATCATATGACGCACGAAGGAGGAGGAAAGATACCGACTAAGACGTCATTGGCCAAGTAGATCACATGACACACGAAGGAGGAGGAAAGATACCCGACCAGGACCTCATTGGCCGAGAGCGGTCACGTGACGCACGAAGAGAATCGGTCGACGCCTCTATCAGAAGTGTAAGTGTGAGGAGCCGATACGAAGAAGTGGGGAAGTTAGTGCACGCCCCTCAGAAGCACAGTAAGGGAGTGGGAGTGAGAGGAAAGTTACCGAAAATGGAAAAGAGTAAAAAAATCCCTAACCAGAAATAAGAAGGGTGGAGACGTATTTAGAATTATCGAAGAACCCCTGGTGCCGACAGACCCACCCCAGTTTTGACGGCGTCAATAAAAGCGAGAACCTAACCGACAGAAATCAGTTCGTTCGACCCAAGCTGGAGAGAAGTTTGAGTTCAGCCGCGGACCCTGGCGAGAAGTTTTGAGCTTGGACGACAAGCAGAGATGAGCGCCCAGTGTTGAAATCGCGTCAAGATAGCTGACCAAGATTCACGCACACTTTTGGACTCTTCTTCAACCAAGAACAAGTAGTTTGAAGAGCGACTTAGAATCAGACCACAGAAATAAGTTTTCGACTTTCGTCCAACACACCGAAACACAAATTTCTTAGAGAGCAGACAACTTGAAGCCTTAAAGTTTGCCTAGCGAAAGCGTTGTGCCACAATCCACAGAACGGGTCAGGGAAGTAGACATAGTCCTATGTACCGAACAAATAGACATAAAAGTTTGTTACCTTTTTTTTTGATACTTTGGACTTTGTGAGTTTTCATTTTATTTTCTTTTATCCATAATTGTGTGTTATCACCCCCGTTGAACTCAGCTTGCATTACGGCCCCAACCCTGTTTGATCTCGTCTGTCTAAGATCAATTCACAACGTGGGTAGACAGACTGGGGATCAGTGCAGTTACCCTGGTAACCAGGCATTGGAAGCAGGTTGGGAACGGCGAGGCTGGTATCAATCTAACCAGATTCAACCCCGAATCACCAAAGGGGTTAGAGCGTCACGTTTGGAGCAGCGGAGCGAACAGCTGACGACGCGGCGAAGACGTCTGGTTGGTGCTGTTTGGGGACGTCATCGACGCCGTGACCGGGACATCAGAGCCTGGGGCAGCCACGTGACGTCACATCTGGCGCCGTGGTGGATCAGGATAGAACGACACAGTCGGCGCTGCGACCGGGGGACGACGTCACACTCATCAAATTCACGAACCAACATAATAATACACTAGGCTACTTTCTTTTGGCGAATAAGAATTAAGCAATACTAAATAATAAGACAAGATATCCATAGTCATGTCAGTGGAATGAAAACAATCTACCCTCATAGATTACATAAAGATACTTTGAGCTGGTATATTGGTTAGCAAGCTTGTATCGCTAAAGTAATTACGACTGAGTAGTGAGTTCGATTCTTACTAGTATCCCCATAGATTCGGCCTTGTGCAACGTCTAAGCTAATCTTAGAATATCACCACAAAGGTTCCAGTTTGAAATTCTCTGGAAGTAATACATGATAAAAAGTGCTTGACGGAGCTCGGAGGGTACACCGTCCGAGTCGGTGTTATAATAACATTTAAGATGCAGACAATCGTCTGTGTGTAAATAATATAAATAATGATAACTTCTCATCGCAGAAATTCACAGAGAATTAATAATAACAGTTTTCGTTGAAGTGAGTATAGCCTAAATTGTTTAGTGTATTAATTTACAGTTGCCAAGAGATAATATTGGACGGCCGCCACTATCTCGCTGCATGTCTTTTGACAGAGGACACATGAAAGCGAAACTGTCAAAGGCAAACGAATAATCAGTCTTAAGCTGACTGGCGGTTAGCTTTGACTTCTTAAAAAGCCGAAAGGCCGGCCGATGAGACCAACTGAAAGCCAGTCAATATTTGATCTTACTCGACAATTATTGTTTCCAGCTGTTTATGGCCTTATTTGTCGGCCTTTATGATTACTGCTTTATTTTCTCGACATAAAATGACCTCAAACAAGGATTTGAATCAACAGTATAATCTTCTCAGTCTTGCTTCATATTCAATATCTTTAAATATCAGATTGAATATTTTCATTTCACCTCAGACAAGGTGATAACACCACTATGGTTCAAGGATTTGCTTGCAGTGGAAAGAAATGATAAGACATTTGTGAGATAGAAAGGACACTAAAAGAACAAATTTCAGGGAGAAAAAAATGTAGCATTTGGCGTTGCATTTATTTTTGTTTTATATTTAATTTATTTGAAGACTTAACACATGAGGAAATTTCAAGCTTTATAAAAAGAAACATATGACCAACAAAAGCTAATTATTGCAGATATAACAACATTTCTGGAAAATAGACAGAATTCAAATGCAACCGGAATGCAATACTTACACAGACTGAAAGAAGCATCAAGTTATTGCGAATTTGAAAAGCTGGGTTTGAGAGAAATGTTTATATGAGATGAATTGTTCCTTCTAAGATTAATTAAAGGCGTATGCATAATGAGAGATACAGAGAAAAAGAGAGAGATGATGTAAATACAGTGTCTGCAGGCAGAAATATTTTTTTTCAAAAACACATTTGGTTGAATAATATTGCCAATTTCTTTCTGTCCAACTTTTTTATTACTTTTTTTCAGATGTACTAATTATTAATTCTATATAAATTTTCCAAATTTCATTTTTATTTTTGCTTTATTTCCTGAGTACTTTCAAATGTTGTTACTTTCGTTTTCAAGGATTCCATTTTGTGTGTGTGTGTGTGTGTGTGTGTGTGTGTGTGTGTGTGTGTGTGTGTGTGTGTGTGTTTATGCAGCTGTTTCTGACTAATTCCGACGTACTTCCGTTTGGTGACACCAATTTCAATTCATACCAGATGACGTAATTTATAACGGTCAAACTGAATTTTTACGTCTATATATTTCTATATTTGCACGCACGCACACGCACACGAATTAAGAAAAAAAAAAAAAAAGAAACCTTTCCTTAGCCGACGCCGGAACTCCTAACGACGGATGAAAACTTGAAGTCTTTGATACTGAAAGTGCCAAATGGAGGCAAAAGCAACAGTGGATCATCGTGTAGCCGATCTAAAGAGATTGTGTAAATACCTGGCAGAACAAGGTCTCAGAAGTAATAGTAAGGTGACAAACTTTGCTTAGCGCTCCATTAGATAGGGAGTTGTACGTCATGAACACCAGTGTCTTTTAGGGATATACATATAGATGACACATCTCTAAATATGAAAAAAGAAACTGTGATTAGCGCCTCCCGACACTAAATAACACTGCTTAGAGCTCCATTAAACAGGGAGTTGTATGTCATGAACACCGATGTCCTAAAGCAAGTGTCGGCAACCTACGGCCCGCGGGCCGGATCCGGCCCGCGAAGGCATTTTGACCGGCCCGCGAGCATGATTATCAATGACTCTATTTTTAACATGAGAGACGAGGCTTTCGAATTCGACAAAAGGCCTGCTGTTATCTCAGTGCACTAAAAATATTAGACTATCTGCCAGTTATCTTTCATGAGGCTTATTTTACCAAGTTGCTTTGCCTACGTTTAATGTCAAATAATGGATACATATTTGTTATGACCCTTGGCTACATTAAAAGATAACAGAAGCGAAAGGAACGATAAAGTGAAAGAGGCCAGGGAGGGACTGACATGCGAGGTAGCAGAAATCTAAATACAGTTAAACATACGCGCATTATACATACATGCCTCATGAATGTGTGGATGATACCGCATGTGTACGTACGTAAGTGTATATGTTTGCAACTATTTGTACTCATATGTATGGGTATATGTCCTTCGTTTTTCTTTGATGTGTGTGTGTGTGGTTCGTTTGTGGAACAATTTTCAATAACGGTTTCAAACCTAAACGTCATAATTTCATCCACTTCACTTCGGTTGATTTTTTTTTCACTTTGAAGTAATTTTCTGTTCCTTGAGGAAAAGTAATTTTTGTTAGGTGTTTTTTAATTTTAGATTTTCTTTTGGTTTTTTTCTGATTTCTCAATGTTTATTTTCATTATTGTTTTAAATATTTAGGTTGACAGGGGTCTGCATATGTAATTTTCCTTAATTTTTCATTAATGGCCTTCGTCCGGCCCGCGACCCGTCATTATAACACGATCCGGCCCGCAGGGGTCGAATGAGTTGCCGACCCTGACCTAAAAAGTGACATAAATATAGACGAACAAGACACACACACACACACACACACACACACACATATATATATATATATATATATATATATATATATATATATATATATATATATGAAAGAAACCTCGATCAGGGCCTCCTGACACTAACACGCGAACAACAGCTTATCTATCCGCGTTTATTAAACTGCTTTTCTGTAGTTATGAAAATATGTCCGAATGTTAACACATTCTACAATTTAGTAGGACATTACAAACATAGCGAATAAATATATTAATTGGAGATCCCGGTAGAAAGCAGATTAGATTATGTTTTGATTACGTATATGCTGTGCATATGTTTGCAGTCGTATGTATATATTACGTTTCCTCCTGCATTAATTCGTCTGTGTATGTCGGCGAAATTGACTATATTTGCTCGCGGGCATTCGCATTCGTGTAGTCACGTGCGTTCATGTGTAAGGAGGTACACGCATCCAGAATAACAATAGCAGGAAAAATATCGAGTAACACAATAAATATTCGATCGATTATCGGTAAATATATATGTGAGTTTTTTGTTCTTTCGCCGACCACGAGACGTATTTCTTTATTTTCTCGTAATTAGTTATCAAAAGCCTACATATTTAGGCGAAAGCGAATTTCCCCTACACCGACATGACCAATATATTGGTGTTATATGGAGGATGCTTTTGAGTTTTATTCACTTTGGAGTATTTTTTTTTCTCTCGTTTCTCTTCGTCTTACAAAAGAGAAACGCCTCAGGTTTGGGGGATGGGGAGGGGTGTACTTAAATTTTGCATGAATAGTAGTAAGCCGCATGTTAAACTTAGTACCATAAGAGATGGAACAATCGATAAAGGACGACGTAGAAGTTTGAGATAGCAAAGACGAAATTAATGGGACGAAGAAATTAGCAAGGAGAAACGAGAGAATAAAAAATGTCGACAAATTATTAGAACAAAAAAAGAAGAAGAATTGAGTAGAGATATAGATAGAATGGTAAATAAGAGGATTAGAGAATAGGGAGGATAGGAATTTAGTAGCGATGAAAAAAAAAAGAAGAAAACGAAGCAGAAAATAAAGAAAAGAAAAAGAAATACGTAGAGAGAGGGGGGTAAAAAAAAGAAAGGGGACAAATAGAACAAGAAGAAAAATGAAATAAGAACAAGGAGAAGAAAAAAAGAAGAAATATTTATATATGTAGAGAGAGAGCGTGATAAAAAAGTATAAATGAAAAGAAAAAAAGGAGAAACAGAAAGAAGAAGAAGTAAAAGTAGAATAAATGTGTTGAGATAGGAAGAGAATGGTAAACAAAAGTAAACAGAGAAGAAGTGGTGGCACATAATACAACGCAACTAGTCGAAGCAAAAGGCGTCACAAAATGGCGAAATAGAAGCAAGAAAAATGGAAAATGAAGGGAGGAAAAGAACCGAAACAAAAGAGTAAAAAAAAAAAAAAATAAATAAATATATGTCGATATATCGATTTGTTAAGTAAGAAATGTATAAATATAGGAATATTTTCAGATTTACAGGAATGTTTGCTCTTAGTCTGTTCTGATTATATACAATATGTAACTGGTAACTGATGACAATAAATGTAACACCGAAATATGAAGGAGCAGAAATATAAGGAAGGATGACTTCCAGAAAATAGGGAAGAGAAGATAAAAACAGTGAAAGACAAGGTTGAGACTTCTCACCGGACTTATTCATCCTATACGGTGAAACGATTCTAAGAGAATTAGAAATCCTACTAGAATCTATTATTAGCGATTTACCCGGAGGGATGAAGCGAGGAGATGAGAAACGGAAGCTTTCTGCCGGGCAGGATGATTGCTGGACAAAAAGGAAACAATACGGCGATATCGTCTTTACAAGCATTTCCGAGCGACTTAGCATACATTCATTACAATCGAGACTGTCACTCCCCTGTATAATGTAAAGCCATAACAGATATTTCTATGTCACCAACAGCTGAAGCATGTTGCTTTGGACGTAGATTCATGAACTCACAAGAAGGAGAGATGTCACATGTACACGACATATGTGCTGAGCGGATTTTAGTAATACTTTCTGAGGGATAGAGTATAACTTCAGAAAGAGTAAAAGACGTCAAGTAGATTCAAACAAACGTTTGTCAGCGGTCAGTCACAAGGCTTGGTTCAATCCGTAGTATGGATTTCAATTATTTTACATGGCATGAGTTATTGCGTTTTATTCCCTGTTTCGTTGACATCAAGAGAATTCACCTCATTGAAGAAACAACAATGATGTGTCTAGGTACCGTGACTCAGGAACAAAATGCAAACATTCTAATCCTCGGCCTCGTAATCATAAACGCACACACACACGTGTACGCGCGCGCGTGTGTGTGTGTGTGCGTGCGTGCGTGCGCGTGTGTGCGTGCGCGTGCGTGCGTACTCATCTCGTTATCTCTCCCTCCCGTCTCTCTCTCTCCTCTCTCTCTCTCTCTATATATATATATATATATATATATATATATATATATATATATATATAGTTGGATTGATGTAAGTCGTGACCCTGGGTTTCACTCTAATTTGACGATCGAAATTTCATTTACCATGTTTGCCTGTTGAACTGGTTGACACTGAAATTCTCAATTGCACTATAAATTTAGGTATATATATATATATATATATATATATATATATATATATATATATATATATATATATATATAAGAAGTGGATACTGATGCCAACACCAAACGAGGATAGTCTGTTTCCTACACAACCCCACTGGCCTAAAATTCCGTAGAAATTATGCAACATACCATTGCCGCTAACTGTTGGCCTCACTATCCAGTTTTTTTCTGTTGCATATATATATATATATATATATATATATATATATATATATATATATATATATATATATATATATAAAGAGAGGAGTAGGAGAGAGACGGATAGAGAGTAAAAAGCAAGCCAGTAAGAGATAACAGAGAATTTGTTAGAGATGATCTGAAACCATGTTTACTTTTGCATAATCAAATATTAACACATATATTTTCTAAATTTTATATTAATTAATAAACCTCTAAAGTCTTCGATGTCTACATTTTCAACGAATTTTACCTGTCAATGTTGCAACTTTTCCATTCCACTTAAGAACAATATATTTAAGCCTGTTGATCTGCTTCAAAATGTTGAAACGTATCTAATAAATTAATCTGAGATTTTCTTATCCCGTTCTTCATGAGAATGTTTGAAATGGCTTCTATACTTGTAAAAAAAAAAAACTTCACGCGCACAGTAATCACTGAATTTATCTATTCGATTTAGATTTCCATATATATTCGGCAGCCACCGTTATATGGTGGAACGTTCGATTCCTTTGTTTAGAAGAACAAAGCGCACTGCAAAAATAAGCCACTAACTGTTTTAAATAAGAATTGGATATGTTAATGCAGCAATGAGAGGCAAAAACAAAACAAGTATAAAGAAACTGTGAAATCGAAAGTAAAAGTGAAAGTAAAAAAGGTAAACGGGAGGTGTTGATCATTTATTCTTGTGTTCGATTTACTTAAAATGAAAGTACATTTGTAGGCTTGCAAGTCACTAGCCAATCTATGGAAATTGCCTCGGAGCTTTTTGACTATACCTATCGTGATCTACTTACTAGATTAATCGATAAATATTATTTCAGTTCTTAAGTATACATACATACATACATGCATGCCTGTCTGTGTTTAAATGTATGTCAGCGTTATATATATATATACATATATAAATATATATATATATATATATATATATATATATATATGTATGTATGTATGTATGTATTTTCTGTACATGTCTGTGTTTAACTTCAAATCTTAAATAATCTAAGTAAATAACTGTGCATATGTAATTGCATCACCAGGTTTATTTGCTTAAATGATATTTGGCAAATGCTTTTTTACATTCGTTGTTGTGATAGTTGGTTTGTAAGATCTTAGACTCTCATCCCCAAATCTTAATTTCTTAAAAATAAAACGTATTTTAAACAGTTATCTGCAAAGATCTGGATGTATTTGCTAAAACTGCAAATTCTGTATTTTTAAATCTGTATAGTCAATAATTAACTCCTCGAATATAAAAGGATCTATGAGAGACGTAAAAAAATATCCACCCTCCCCCAAAAAAAAACAGATATATTTCTTTTCTTTCTGAAAAGATAAATAAAAACATACCTAGAGGAATTCTCCAAATTTAAAGTTAAAAACAACTTTGATCTTTTTCAGCCTCGTTCAGGCGAAAGTTTGGCAGAAGATCCAAAGCATATCATTTTTTACCAGGCTTGTAAAAAACAAAAGCGACGAAAAGAAGTCCACTAGATTATTTCTATCTTTGAATATTGACTGAGGACCGGAAACAAAGGCAAATATAGACGGGGATAAAAAACAAAAGGAAAAAATTTCCTATGTTTCAAATATAAAATTTGCCAGGCGCATCCAACCGACAAGTTCAAATTGGAAAGTTCTTGAGTTTGTCATTTTACGCAGACGCTAAATTTGTTTGCGCATCGCTGATCAAAGGCGTCATATTTTTAGCAACTAGTAAACATACTGTTGGATAAATTGAGAAGATGAAATATTAAATAACATTTCGCCAATCGAGTTTAGAAGAGCAATAAACCAGGAAAAGGCCATTTCACCGTAGGGATATAAAAAAATAATTAGTCTTTGTTTCATATTTCTTACTTTTACTGATCTACGATGTAAATAGTACTATCCAAGAATATGTCCTCTATCTCTTCATATATATATATATATATATATATATATATATATATATATATATATATATATATATATATATATATATATATGTGTGTTTTTGTGTGTCTTTGTATTTGTGTGTACATATATCTCCCTGGATCTGTATAATTTTAGAATTATCCTACGAATAACCAAATATTATCATTACATATATATATATATATAATATAAAATGGTCAAACAGTAATATTCCATGGATATAATTTCTTACATTGGAATAGTAGTGTTTGAGCCTTTTATATTATATTATTGCTCTGTACTGTACATTGACTTATACCTGGATTCTATCTTCTAAAAAATATATATATATATATATATATATATATATATATATATATATATTGACCACTAATATTATCAATATGTACATACATACACACACACGTATATATATATATATATATATATATATATATATATATATATATATAGTTGTGTGTATAAAAACGACATGGTACAGAAAAACACCTAGATATATGCTTTTATATGTATATTAAATGACAAAATGAAAAACAAATCTAATGTCACACGGTTCATTTAATTACAATTACATTGCTATATATATATATATATATATATAGAGAGAGAGAGAGAGAGAGAGAGAGAGACAGACAGACAGACAGACAGACAGACAGACAGACAGTGAGAGAGATCACAGACACAATTCTACCGCGGAATATTAAAATAGAGAATTTATAACCATAAGAACTCGTTTAGCAATCTGAAACTAAAATCCCAAACAGCACTTTCAAAGAATTGTTTTTGAATTGAAGGAAAATGATCTAGACCTGCAGATAGACTAAAAATTTTAATATATATATATATATATATATATATATATATATATATATATATATATATATATATATAATATACATACATATACACACATATATATAATGTACATACATATACACACACAAAATATATATATATATATATATATATATATATATATATATATATATATGTGTGTGTGTGTGTGTGTGTGTGTGTGTGTGTTTGTTAAAATTTTTACTAATTATATAAATATCAAATTGTGTGTGTATATATATATATATATATATATATATATATATATATATATATTGACGATTGCGTCTAGCATGAAACAGACTGTCGCCTGTAAGTGTTGATTCTATATTCAATATAATTATTGATTTAAAAATATGTTTCAAGACAAGAGTCGAAAACTTCAATATAATCTTTTTCAATTAAATTGAATTAAATTAAGCTCTGTTCCATCTTCAAGCGAAATTTTTTTTTGGAATAACTTATTTCTGAAATTTACGTGTTTTAATAGCATATTCATAATTGAAATCAAAATTTTCATGGTAACAGCCAGGGCCATTGTTTAAATAGGGAGGGATGTTGCGTGTTAATAATTTGTATCAGTATAGGGTTACATTCATGGATGTCAAGTCAGGGTAAGGTGGGGGTGTTTAAATTTAAAACGGAAGATGTTTTCCCCTAGTCTGGTTTACGTGTCTATGGAGATTTATTTATTTTTATTTTATTTCTTTATGAAAGGGTTTTGTCTATATAAAAAAAGAAAAAACGTCGTAATATTCTCCCTGTAGACATTGACAAAAACGTTCTTTCATTTGTAACATAGACGGTTCTCTGTTAATCTAGATGTACTGGGAATGTTGGCAGCCTTTGATAACTTAAGGCTAAATTCAGACCCCCCGCAAAAAAAAAAATATATATTTGTCACTGCTAAGGACTGCGTACGCTTAGTTAATTTTACAAGGCAACGTTACACAAGGCAACGTTACACCAGGCTAGCTTTAGTTAATTGTTAGTGGATATCTAAATATTCTACCCGAGTGACAATATAGGACGAAAGGAATAAATATTACATACATTATATTGGACCTATCAACTCCATCTGTAAAATACCTACTTGCTAGGGGAACACACAACAATAAAAACTAATATTGTGATGTTTGGCTTCATACTAGACAGGTATATAGGGTCACAGTAAACCTATGTATGTAATATGTTTACTGCGTTAAAATCCATACACACACTTTATATTTAGACGGAAAAAGATGATTCATGAAGCAAGCAAAATCTGTTTCATAGATATTGTCAGAGTCTAGAAAAGAGAAAAAAATGATGTGTCGGTCAAGAGAAAGAGAAGAACCAAATAATAATAATAATAATAATATAATATATATATATATATATATATATATATATATATATATATATATATATATATATAGAGAGAGAGAGAGAGAGAGAGAGGGGGGAGAGAGAGAAAAATAGCGAAAAGAAAAAAGAGATCGAATGACTAAAGGAGGATAGAAAGAACAATAGAAGAGAAAATTTAAACAAATATTACAAGGAGGAGCAAAAGAAAAGCGATGAGAAAAGAAAGTGATGATAATATAGTGAGGGGGAAATAGTGAAGAAGCATGAAAGACAGAGAAAGAGTGAGAAAGCGAAAAAATAGATCGAATAATTGAAGGCGGATAGAAAGAAAAATAGAAGAGAAAATGAGAAGAAAAAGAAAACAACTTACAAGTGGTGGTGGGTGATGAGGAAAGAAAGAAATGATAATTTAGGGAGAGAGGAAATAGCAGAGAAGGACAAAGGAAAGAGAGAGAATGTACGTGTGTTGGTGAAAGAGATGTGTAGAAAGTGATGTTGAAAAGCAGGAGAGGAATGTACTTCAGAACAGGAAGCAGAGACATAAAAGCATCGAAAAAAAGAGTTTGAGGCAAAGAGAGAAAGAAATAGAGCGAGAGAATGATAACGAGCCTAAGAAAAATCTGAATTCCGAACGACTATAATAGAATCAGAAATACGAATCAGAGAGTAGCGTGATTTTCAACAAGGAAAGTGATTTTTGCTGCGGTGATGGTTCCAAATTGCAAGCAAACCAAGTGTTTTTAAGAGCACAAATGGATGAAGCAATTGTCGTTCATTAGCAGTAGAAACATTCGTGCCTGTGTTTTCATTCCTTGGCGGGAAAATTTCTTTTTTATTTCTTTTTTTTCCGTACTGGCTTCATTGCGGGCGTAGCAAAATGACAACTATTTAGAGGAGGTTTTGAGTAGCGTAAAAATATCACTTTAATTTTTATTTGTATTTTGCGCAAAAATTTTCCCATTCACCTCTCCACCTGCCCGATATCTAGCTACAGCACTTCCTTTTCGTTTCTACCCTTTTTCTTTTATTTTATTGCAGTTTCTCTATACAATATTTCCCTGCACATGCTTCAGTTCCTTCTCATTATATCTGCCTGCTTGTCTATCTTTTTTCTCTTACATACATATATATATATATATATATATATATATATATATATATATATATATATATATATATATATATATATGTATGTATGTATGTATATATATGTGCATAGAGAAAGACACACTCAAATATATATATATATATATATATATATATATATATATATATATATGTGTGTGTGTGTGTGTCTGTGTATATAATATGTGTGTGTGTAGTTATTTTTTTACTACAGTGGTTTCTGAATTGTCCCACTCTTCTCTAATGAATACGTGTTGATATTTTCCACTGAGCCTACAAGTTGAAGCTACGTGTTCTACTTTTCAGCTGTTGTGTTTCTCTCGTTATAGTCACAATATTATTCCCTTTGCCTCTTCACTCGTTCCGTTTCCTTATTTATCTCACAGCCCTTTTCAGTCGTTTTTTTTTTATCGAATGTTTTACTTCTTTTTTTTAGCTCTCTTTAGCTTTTGTATTTTTTTTAATACTTGTGCAACAGAATCTATAACGAATTTCTTAACAATTTGCGCATTCTGCTATATTTCTAATCAAGTGATTGGCCGTGTTGAGTGTTGTAATTCAGAAAGTAAACATCAGCCATTTTATCAGAAAAGGCGGGAAAAAGCGGTGCTGGAAGAATAGCTTTTTAATGACTCTCAAAATTAATGGGCCAAAAAAAAAATCAATATCGTTCAATATTATTGGGAGTCGATGAAGAGGCCCGTTATGCAGAAGCGGTTAGTGAGATAAGTGAACATTATGCTTTTGAGCCTCACCGGAATTCCACCAACTGTGTCATTGTATTAGACTTAGAAGCTTCGGAAATATTTCATCGATATATTTATATGCAAACCTGCTAAGAAGTATGAACACCATAGGAATATATCCAGCGGAGAAAAATAAAATTCAAAATTTAATATATATTATTATTGAACAGGTAATATTAATCTCAGAAGTTACTTTTGGTAGTAACATTTTAATCTAGGACGTATTTTGATTCACTAAGCTGATAAGAAGTACCATCCTCGTAGCCTCTGAACCCAGTCATTTAGCTGAAACGAAGTACCATCAACGTATCCTTTAGACTTGTTACTTAGCTGAAACGAAGTACCATCCAGGTAGCCACTAATCCCAGTCACTTAGCAGAAACGGAGTACCATCAACGTAGCCTCTAGAACACTCAGCTGAAATGAAGTACCATCCAGGTAGCCTCTAAACCCAGTCACCTAGCTGAAACGAAGTACCATCAATGTAACCTCTAGACCTGTCACTTAGCAGAAACGAAGTATCATCCTCGTAGCCTCTCAACCCCGTCACTTAGCTGAAACGAAGTACGACCAACATAGCCGCTAGTCCAGTCACTTAGCCGAAACGAAGTACCATCAACGTCGCCTCTAAACCCAGTCACTTAGCTGAAACGAAGTACCTTCCTCTAACATCTAAACCCTGTCACTTAGCTGAAAAGAATTACTATCCGCTAGACCTGTCACTTAGCCAAAACGAAGTGCCATTGACGTCGCCTTTATCTATCTATCTAAAAGTCGTGAATAAAAGGCAAAATCAGTTTCTTTTTTTGAACCAATTTCCTTCTGAATATACACAAACCAACCAGGGAATACAACTTTGTAAGGGGGGTCTCTATCTCACAATATCTAATGATTTTACCCGAAGTAATGAAAAACTTTCCGTACCTATTGTAAATCTGTCACACGAGTATTAATTATTTCATGTATTCTTGAACATTCTTTCAACATTCTGAAGAAATCCGAATGTATACTAATTTCTCCGCGTTTATTCATTCTGAATTATATCTATGAGTGGGTGTCTTTCAGATAAGCGAAAACCCTGTAGGTCTGAGACTGAGACACAATTTCTAATCTTGCTGAAGATATTTGTGAGATTTCCATAAGAATTTGAATGACAACGACAATTTGGTTTAACGCGGTTTGTGGTGTAACTGAAAATCTTTATGATCATATCATTTATTTATCAGTTAGTTTAGTGTATAGAGGTCTGTTTCCCATATTGTATGTTAGATATGCAACGAGTAATGCATTCGTTTAAATTTCTATTTTCCACTATTTTAATGAATATCTATCTATTTATGTATGTATCTTTCTATCTATCTATCTATCTATCTATCTATCTATCTATCTATATATATATATATATATATATATATATATATATATATATAAAGATATGTCTAATTACATAGATTAGACAGCTTTTTGTTTACTTATTTTTAATATCATCCCCTCATATTCACGGACAAGATTTTTAGTATCCTTATCAAAGGAAGAACTAAAGTTATTATATTGATGCGTATTCATTTACTTTCGATATTAGCAAACTGTCATATTCAGGGCCTTATTTTATCAGTGTCTTATTTATATCTAAGTCAAATTTGTTGGGTATATTCGAAAAAAAATTTTCTTTTATTTGTGAAGTGAAAAACGCTAAACTTATGTATTAACGATTCTTAAATTTTAAGATTTAAGCGTACGCGGGCAGTAATGTCAAGAGAGGTAACTACGCTATTATTTAATGCTATTAGTTAAAACCTAGATATTTTTAAATTGTCCTGTAATTTTTTTTAAAAAAAGTGTGCAGTATTCATAGTTAATTTTATTAAGGGTTGATTTTAATGTTTTTATATAAATAGCTTCAAGAATTTTTACTTTATGTTTATTATTTTAGTGAAAAATTATAGAGGTATATATCAACAATTTTTTTCAAAATTGCGAATCTTGCCTGATATGATCTTGTAAATGCTTAGAGATGGCAGATGCATCATTCAAATGAAAACTCAACGTCTGAGACAACATAATTGTAGCGGGCCCAGCATAAATATTATCTTTTCTGTTGAAGATACAATCTTCTAAAGAACATTTAAATTTATATATGATGTTGGTTTGCCGAAACACGTTAAATGATCGGAGGAGTCATTTAGGAAGTTTTAATTGAATGCATATTACATTTTTATTGAATTTTGTATAGTATATAATTAATTTGATGTATTTTACAAGGATCAGGATATATATATATATATAATTCTTCTACTTATTTTTTCTAGCATCATGCTTACGATTTTCCCCTAAGAGAGTAGCAAATTTTTCTATAAATGTAATTGTCCCAAATATTTTCGGCACTTTAAAAATTTTCAAAGCGGGGGTGTATGTGTATTCTGAAAATGACTAAAGAATTGGACGAAAGCGCTTGTGACAATGAAAATTGCCATATTTCTGTCCCCTCGTATTAATACAAAATGGAAAAATGTAAGTATGCTGGAACCCCCCCCCCCAAAAAAAAAAAAACTAATTAAATATTCTTATTTACAGAAAACTGTTAAAAAATATTGGAACCCAAATATACATTATTGTTGTAGAGTAGTTTTCACAGTGGAGGTTGTATTTCATTAAATCGTCCTAAATTAGGTTCGACGTACAAAACGTTAGAAACTTGAAATAAGAGTTAATGACGCAGCAATCTAGTTGTGATGGTTGATACTTCAATGTCCGACATCGAGTGACTCACTCAACACCACTGAGCTCCACTGGCGACCGCTACTACTACTTATTATCTGTGGGAGAGTCTATTACAATAGAATAGGTAATGTTCTGGTATGACAATTATTTACATACATACATACACACATACATACATATATATATAAATATATATATATATATATATATATAATATATATATATATATTTATATATATAAATAAATATATATATATATATATATACACACACACACACACACACACATATATATATATATATATATATATATATATATATATATATATATATATATATATATGTATGTATGTATATATTAATATATTATACAAGTGTCAAGGAAGAACACTATTAATATTTTGATGCTAAAGAAGGAATTACGAAAACGAAAAAAATAAAAAATAAAAAATTCGACCCGAAAGAGAAAAAAAAAACAACACGTAACGTCCTATAAAAAATAAGTTTTTAAAAAACGGAAAAGAAAAGGTAAAATACAGACAAAGAACTAAACAAAAAAAAAGAAAGAAAAGCCAAAGTGTTTAATGTCTAGAAATTAGATTCAGTTAGATTTGTAATGCTAACAAGCAGAAACGAGAGTTTCAATGTCTATCGCAACTCACACATTTTCACGCTATGTTGGATGTCAGACAACAATATACGAGATCATGCTGGCTGGCAATTTAGACACATTATAATACTGTGTTACACAGATTAGTTTCATCAATTTGCTTCTGATATTGACATGGAGTCGGCTACTTTACCCTTCCATATCTTCTGTTGGCCAAATGTAGATCGCCAACTGTGAAAGTTGGCGATCTACATTTGGCGATTTTAATTGAACCGAAACATGGTCGAGAATATAAACTCATCACCAAAATGGATATCGTTATCCGGCGGCCTTGGGTTTG